CAAAAACGCGCCGCGTTCCTTTCCTTTCGAAGGTAGGACGAGTCTATCGAGATGTGTCTACTCGTCGAAGAATCCTGCCTTACTTTCGTGTATTTTTCGAGTTAATCTTTAAACCATACTTTATTGGCTAACGGACGTCGAGAAAGCTTTAAATTCTTGTCTCTCTCTCTCTCTCTCTCTCTCTCTCTCTCTCTCTCTCTCACTCTCTCTCTCTCTCCTATCTTTGCAGCTCGTCCTTTTCGAGATACGATATTTCGTGCGAAGTAAAAGGAGAAAAAAAGAAGGATAGGAAAGAAGAAGAAAAGAAAATGAAAGCTTCCCCTTCTCTAAGGCTTTACTCGACGACTTTTTCCTCGTCTTCGAGTTTTAGCTCGTCTTCGTTCTGGCAAGTCGCTAAAAGCACTGTAAATTATTGCTGAAACTCGCAAAAGTTTACGGTGACACCTCGCGACGCACGCTCACCCCCTTCCCAGTAATTACGCTAATTATCATCGTTTCGAGAAACGCAAAGGGTCGTCTCTCTCTCTCTCTCTCTCTCTCTTTCTCTTTCTCTTTCGCGACGTCGCAGCCATTCTCTTTTGCCAAAAGACACGATATGAATCCCCATACCGATTGTATGGGGATGTTAATTCCTTTGTTATTTCTAACAACAAGTAATCCTTTTCCACAGCTGGATAATATAAGACGCTAGGAATGGAAAGCTGTCAGGTGCGTGGCACATATCCATGGAAACGTCCGCGGTAATACGTGCGGTACCATTGCACGTATGCACTTACGTGTTCGCGCAACGGTATGCAAGAGAGCGCAGAACCCGTCTGCATACATCGAAATGTTCTAGCCGGGTATGCACACACTCAAGATTCGATAATAGCGACTCGTCGAGGGTGGCCGAGGCTACGGCGTGTAGGCCTCGAGCACGACAGTCCGTGCTCAGACGTGACTCGCGACGCAACCCCTTATTTTTCACATTTACACAAGTGCCTATTCTTCTCTATTTCCACTATTTCATCATAACCTCGGGAGTGCGAGTCATCTAAAGTAGTCATGTTTTTATAAAACATCGCGAAATCAAATTGGGGATTAAACTGATTAGAACGATCGAGAGAACGAGAGAGAGAGAGAGAGAGAAAGAGAGTGAGAGAGAGAGAGAGAAAGCGAGTGAGAGAGAGAGAGAGAAAGAGAGTGAGAGAGAGAGAGAGAGAAAGAGAGTGAGAGAGAGAGAGAGAGAAAGAGAGTGAGAGAGAGAGAGAAAGAGAGTGAGAGAGAGAGAGAGAAAGAGAGTGAGAGAGAGAGAGAGAGAGAAAGAGTGGAAAGAAACGAATTAACTCGACGATACGATTCCAAGGAAAAAGGAGTTTTGCTCGTGAGTAAGCCAAAGTAGGAAGCCCGTTGGGACAAAGACGAGGGCCAAGAAATGCGTCGGAATATCGGGACAAATCGCGTTGCGTAAGACAGCCGTCTAGTCGTTGTGTTGTCGTCGTGTTGTCGTCGTGTTGTCGTCGTGTTGTCGTCGTAGTCTATGTGCCGACTCCTTTTTATTTCCCGGAAATTTTTCGACCAAATTTATTCGTCTCGGAGGGTTACGGGGCAAAAAGAAAGATGCGAATAAGAGAAAGGGAGAGTCACGTGTGTGCGAACGTACGCGTAGGCGCGAACACAGATGCGGAATCACACGGGCGGGGGCAAGCTATCCTTGATATTTAACGATTGATTGGCAGGATTGGCAATTTTGCCAATTACCGTAGAGTTTCGTCGGCTTTCGCGGAACGACCAATCGAAATTACATAGTCGGTGTTTCGAAAAAGATCGCCGTCATTTCTCCTCTCTCTTTCTCTCTCTCTCTCTGTGTATATATATATATATATCCTAGTTCGATCTACTCATCGTTACGCTGGATCGGCGGTGGTCCTCCTTAAAGTCAAAGAAGAGTCCCGTTGGAAGAAAGGAGAGGAAGGGAAAGCCTTAGGGCGTCGATCGAACAAACCGTGCCGTTCTCAAACAATAGAACGAATATATATCTATATATATATATATATATATATATATATATATGTGAGTATTGCGAGAGAGAGAGAGAGAGAGAGAGAGAGAGAGAGGCGAGGGCAGAGACCTTCGAAATTCCGCGACGTTTAGCCTTCGCGACGACGTGCCTTCTTGTCTTCGACGACGATCCTACGAATCGATAGACATTCCGTACGCACGTCTCTAATTCGGCAAGAAAATATTCTTATATTGAGAAAAAGGATAATAAGATCGAGCTGCCGATTGGTTTCAATCGTCGCTATCGATATCCTTTTAACGGCCATCACCGTCGAACGAAACGACGAAGGAAGAGAGTACGATATCTCGGGTATGATTTCGATGAACAGTAGCCAATTTCCTTCCGTACAATTTCCGGACCTTCCTTCTTCCTTCCCTCGATCGTCGAAAAGAAATAGATCTCCGAAAGGTTTTTCTCGCGATCCCGTGACTTTTCCCAGATAACAGAAACTCAGGGCAAGTATCGATTTGGCGTGTTTCCTTTTCGGAAATTGCCTTGTTTCTTTCCTCCGGCTGTTGTCTCGACGGCCGTGTTCCATGGCGAAGATCGATACGATATCGCGATGCCGCTTGCGGACCTTCAAATCGCCTGGGTGGTCCTTCCTACGGCGTAGCGAAACTTTCTGCGAACACGAGCACGGTAGTGAGTTGTGAGCTTCGATATCCTTCGATCGCCGTCGAGTTTACTACTAGCGCTTTCTCCGAAAATACGTTTTCGATAAAAATAGTTCTTTTCTCGCCTCGAACGTTCGACCTCCTACGAGGATCGATTTACATCGGTCCAAACGTTTCCTTCGATTTTTACCTCCAATTTACAATACGTACGATTATTTTCTATCGGCACGTAGAAACGATTCACCAGACGAATTTTATCCGATATCGAAGATCCTATCGATTCGGAACTCCGGCACGATCCGTTCTCCTCGTCGACCTCATCCTCGTCGACCTCATCCTCGTCGTCGTCGTCGTCGTCGTCGTCGTCGTCGTCGTGGGTGGACCGAACGGTAGAAGGGAAAAGAAAGGAAGAAGGGGATCTCTTCGCGGAATATGTTTACATTAGAGGCGTGTCTTAAAGGGGGAGGGGGTGGGGAGAAAAAAAAAGGAAAAGAAAAAGAAAGAGGGAACGAACCGCAAAGGGCGCTTAACGAGTTCCGCGCTCCTTCCACGCTTCTCCTTTTCTATTCTATTCGCGAGCAAACTTTAGCGATCTCGTTTCTTCCTTCATTGCAACCACACGATGTTCTTTGTCGTTTGATTTCGAGTTTCTAATTTTTGAAAGAAGAAAAATACGTTCCTCCTTTTTTTTTCTTATATTTTTTTTATTTTTTTTTAGGAAAAATGACATATTTTTTGCAAAAAGTTTAAAAAATTTGTAACGCGACGAATAAAAAATATACATAAATGAAAGAGTTATTTTTTAAAAGATTGCTGTCTTGGGTCATCGCGAATTTTAATATTCGCGAACCGCAACGACCCTCGGCGTCGTCGTAAAACGTGGGAACGGGAGAGAAAAGTCGTCGGAGTTACGAGGGAGAGACGAGGTGTAAGGGGCTTCTTCGGTATTATTAGATTTCTTGCGAATTACTCGCGCGTCCCATTAACGAGTCCCATCTGTCTGGATTACGCGACCAACTCGAGCTCACCCGCGTCCACGATTTAGAACGTTGTTTTTCCACGAGGAAAACTCTTTCTACCTTCTCCTCCTGCTCCTCCTCCTCCTCCTCCTCCTCCTCGACTTATCGCCAAGCTCGATCTTGCCTTTTCTTTTTCCCTCGCGATCCCGATTACGATCGCGTCGTTCATCTCCAATCTACTTATATCTCTCGTTTATCGCCAATATCGAAATTCATTGGATATTTAATCGATAAGAAAGTTTTCTTACTTTTAAACGATAATTCAGAAAGACCAGAGAACGTTTTACGTCGAGATTACGTCGTTATTATCGATCTTGAGAAGGGAACGCGAACGGAATACGACTCGCCGTAGTCCTTCCCTCCCTCCCGCCTCCTCCCTTCACGAGTCTCAATCCTTACGCTCGATTAGCGCGACGAATCGCTAATGAGGCAGTTTCAATTTGAATTCTCTTTCATACACGCGCAAATGCGCGCGCGCACACGCACGTTTACGACGTCGAAGAAAAGTCGATTCTGGCAAACGTCTTGGATCGCGCGTTTCGCGGTCTTAACGTTTCTCCACGTCGTCGTTCTTTCGCCTAAACCACTAAAAAGAGGCTCCGCGCGTCCGGTCGTTCTTGGTAACTCGATCTGCTCGAACACCTACGAAATCAAATTATACTGGCCGACACGTCATGAATTTTAATCGGCATCTAATCTTTCTTGGTCCGACCTACGGCCCGTTCCTCGATCGTACATAATTCCCGTTTGCTTCTTCTAATCGGTGCATGAGACCGTTTAGAAAGCAACTTATCCTGAATTATTTAAACGAAGATTTAAAGATAAAAGATTTCATCGAACGACACCTGCGATCGACGTATTATTCCAAAGGGTATATATTATCACGAATTAATAAACATTTCTGTTCCATCTGAGAAAGAGAGAGAGAGAGAGAGAGAGAGAGAGAGCACGAGTATCGGTGTGGTCCCCTTGAAATGCGAACGAGTGGTCGGCAATGAATCGTCCAAGTAGAGAGAGAAGCCGGTCGTTTGGTCGTTTGGTCGTTCGTTCGTTCGTTCGTTCGGTTGGTCGGTCGGTCGGTCGGTCGGTCGGTCGGTCGGGTCGGTCGGTCTGTCGGTCGGTCCAGTTTGCGAAGCAGAGAGATAGTCAGTCAGTCAAGCCCGCGGCAAGTAGCTGACAGTCATGCGAACGAAAACTAATCTATCCCACACCTTGGCTAGCTCCAACAAGAGCATTAAAATTCAAAATAGCCTGTTAAACAACGTTTTAATGTCTTCCTCTCCTCTTTCCCTTCTTTACCTCGTCCATTCGTTCGGTCTTCTACAGGTCGATTCAATGTCTCGCGGCTCTTCCGAATGTTCAAAGACCACCTGCCGTTTCGCGAAGCGCTTAACGAGTGAGTCACTCGTCCCACCGAAGGTAAGCCGAAGAAATTGCTAGAATCGCGAGTGATTTAGAAATTTCTAACGAGCGACGTGTAATTTACAGACGAACGAGATAGAGAAAGAGTAGGAACGCTTTGGAGGAGGATGTAGAATGCGAGCTAGATTGCGGTCCAGTCCGTGACGATGATCCAGCAGGATGAGTCGTCGCTAATTGGCTTCGCCCACGAGAGAATCGATCTTCTCGTCGGCGCTCGATTAGCGTACCAACGTTACGAAAATCTACTTGGTCGTTTTCAGCGCTCGTTGTCTATCGACGACCATTTCCTCGACCGTGATTCTTTTTGCTCGATTCGTTTACGAATAAGAAATAATGAAAAGGTACAAAGGACGATCGATGGTAAGAGTCGTGGCTTCCTATGGGAGAAGACGTCGATTGGCGGAGGAGGTGCCAGGACTTTACATTCGGCGCCTGACTCTCGAGGATCCTCGGAGCGCGAAGGAACGGTCAAGCGGTTCAAGGTCGCGCACGCCACCGCGCCATATCTGTCATCCCGCCGGTCCATACGTCTCCTCCTCCTTCTTCTCCAGTCGTGGATCTTCCAGGTATTTTCCTTCCGACTCCACCTTTAATTATCCGCTGCGTTCGCGTACGTGAAGGTCACGTCGGGAGATCGCTTCTTACTCCTTTTATTCGCTTCGACGAAACTTAACCGATCATTTGTACGATTACTCGATTAGCTCTGCCGAGCGAAGCGTCGAGAATCGAATCGATTCGATCGAAGTCTTTTTCGAGCGCAGCCTCGATTATTTTCAATGCGACTCTTTAAAAGCGTTACCGTTCTTAAAGAGTTCTTAATAGAGAGAAGAGCCCCTCCCGAGCTTTCTCTTTCGTGTCGTTTAGGAACCCCTAATTAAACGCACTAAAATTTAACGGTCGGAACAGAACAAACGATCGCTATTGTACGACTTAATAAAAAGCCTTCGATAATAACAACGTTATTAAAGGTAGCATCATTAAATATACGCAAACGTTCGCAATATCGATACATCGTTATCATCGACGTGTTCGATCGTTTCTCACTTTTCTCCCAGTCTATTCTCGCTCAGCCAATTTTCTCTTCTTTTTTTTTCTTTTTCGATGCTTCCATTCGACGCTAAGATTCTCCTATTAGATTTAAACGTTCTATTCTAGATTACCCTTGTATTCGACGAACCACCACGAGAATTCTCTTTATTCCTTTTCCCCAGTTACAGATCATGGCAAGAACGAATACGTAAGGAACGACCGGCCTATTTGACGATCGTTTCTCTGGAGCTACCAGAAGCACCGGTACCGTTGATCGAGTCGCTAGCGAGCGGTCGGCTGAACGAGTCAGACGTGGCTGATCGACCCGACGACAAGGACGACATCCTCGACGAACTTTTGGAGAAAGTAAGCGAGCTCGGTAAGGAGAGAGAAAGGGAATCTCGCGGGAGAAAGCTCAATACGTTTTTCAGAGAGAGAAGAAGTCGGAAGGTCGGCTCATTGGAATGTACGAAGGAAGTTGCCACCCTCGAGGAATGTACGAGAAACATTCTTCGGGCTCGCCGTAAGTTCCTTCTATTTCTTATTTTTTTTATAATACACGATAGATTAGCAATTGTGGCATAAACGATTGTTACGTTGATATCGTGCCAACGTATAAATTTGATCGAATCAATTTGCAAGCGAGAAAGAAATCTAATTAAAAGAAGCCAGTAAACTTTCCTCCGACGTTGGCGATTATCGGCTCGGATTTAACCGCTTATAGGCGAGAGAGAACGTAAAGGAGATCGGTAGTTTGGAAGGTCGTGTGCGATTTAATGGCGGTACACGTAACGTTATTAGAAAATTAAAAGCGCGATAATCGAGGCGCGAAAGGTGCGTCGTACGAGGGAAGGTGCGCAGAGAAAGATGCTGCAGCCGTGAAAATAGGGTTGCATTCGGCTGGGTGCATTCATTAAGAGGGGCTGCCCCTGTTGCTATGCAACGCATTAGAAGAAACATTTACGATCGGTCGCGTTGCCGTAGTTAAAGGACGATGACGTAATTCACGTTTCCGCGCACAAAGTCACTTTGTAATATCGTTGATTTTCATTTCCTTTTTATCTCGATTTCGTCCAATTATCAAATATTCTCTCGCGAGTCATGGCTTATCGAGCGCGTGCGATCGAAAATCCTCTCTCTCTCTCTCTCTCTCTCTCTCTCTATTTTTCTCAAACGATATACACGTGAATTCCAGAGGAAGGAGAGAACGAGATGCCGTCGGTGGAAGAAGACTTTCGAGATGTCAAGGATTGCATCTGTTCCGAAATCCCAGGGAAGTTGCGTATCAACGTAAGAAAGAAGACGGAAGTTATGAGCGCGTCGTCGAGGAGCCCGAGCCCAGTGGTGACCCACACGATAAGAATCGCGATGAAGTATCACGGACGAGCAGGACGATGCAACGGGAAGGAGAACAAGGAGACTGGAAAAAAGGATAGAAGATCTCAAGGGACAAACGGCAAGAATATTCGAGAGAGAACGACGACGAGCGGGGTAGTTGGAAAGGGGGATGATGAGTTTGTTCGGGAGGAGGGTTGTTGCACCGGTGTGAACGTAGCTTTAGATTTCACGTTGAATTGCAACAGCGTGCGCCTGACGTCTCGTGACATAAGTCTCAAAGCTGAAACGAGGGACGAAGGACGCTAAGAGACGTCTAGCTAAATCGTTAAGATTAGCGTTTCGAACCGCTTAGTCGTGGTTCCGATAGATGCATAAAAGAATCAATGGCGAAAATATGTGAAAATTTTTCTATATGAAATTTTCCTCTTTACCGTTCTAAAGTTTCCGTCGACGTGACGTTTATAGAATAGCAAAGAGAAAGAAGAAAAAGTATAAACGAGTTTCGGCAGAATCTTAAGGCAAAAGTAAAAGGACCGTTTCTCGTGCGAATAACGAAATTCGGAATCTCCCGGAGGGCAATAAATCGCAATCGCTAGTTCGATTTCTCCGAAGAGAAGGAGGAGGAGGAGGAGGAGGAGGAGGAGAGAAACGCACACTCGCGCACGCGCGCAGCCTATTAATTAGATCGTCTAATAAATCGCCAGCAAGCGGACGGCGAAGTAGAAGCGCCGTTAGGCTCTTTCTCGTCGTCCTTCGGCTCTCTCTCGTCGTCCAAAGAAAGAATCAGAAGAGGAACAAGGAGGTGGAGGAGGATAAGAAGAAGAAGAAGAAGAAGAAGAAGAAGAAGAAGAAGAAAGAAAGAAGAAGAGGAGGAGGAAAAGAGAAGCGCGTAGGATCGTACGAGAGGTTCCTTTTCTCCCGGTGGACCAGCGCAAGATGAGAATCGCACGTCTAGCTTGGCCCCTTGGAAGGCCGAGCCAGCCCAAACCGGGTGAGAGAAGTTGGCCGGTTCTCCCTTCTCCCCACCTCCACTCCCTCTCTCTCTCTCTCTCTCTCGTCGCATTTTTATTCTGTCTGTGCTGTGTACGCTGCTCTTTCTCTCTCTCTCTCTGTCTCTCTCTCTCTCTAAGGGCGAAAATGGTTCATGGCCGTTTCCAACCGCCGATTTCGTCGCGGATCCTGCGAGGAGGATCGACCTCCTCCTTCCCGTCCTCTTCCCGTTGCTGCCGTCGTCTCTCTTTTTTTTTTTTTTTTTTTTTCTTTTTCTCTCCTCTCTTCTTGTTTCCGATAAACGCGCGTTTGTAGAAAACCCGAGAAGTTTACACCCGCTACGAGCCGTTTCCCGCGAGATTCGTATATTTGCGATCATATTACGCGTTATTTGCATACCGCGCTCGTTCGAATAATGTCAGGTTAGCGTTTATTCCCCCTTTTTTTTCCCCTTTTTATTTTTCAACGGATAAAATTCAAAGTTAGAACACATCTCCTTTGTGAAAGAGGAACGTTAACATTGTTGCGTCCGGCTGCAGTTATAATGAGTATGCGAATAGGTATCTAGTTTGCATCGTGGACCATATTTTTCACGAGTCTCAATAAAAATATAAACTTTATCGCGAGATAAAAATGCATTTCGCTTCTCTTCCCATCGTTTCGGTTATTACGAATGAGATTTTGATTTTACCCCGGCAACGGACTACACAATATCGTTCTATTTTATCGATTAGTTCCTTCATTGCCGACAAAGCTGATTAGATTATTTTCTCTTTTCGCTTTATCCTTTATTTTCCATCGATACGCCTTACGTCCGAGCTCTTTCTTTGCTTCCTTCCTTCCTTCCTTCCTTCCTTCCTTCCTTCCTTCCTTCCTTCCTTCCTTCCTTTCTTCCTTCTTTCCTTCCGTAAATCTTCTTTCTCGTCATCTTTGCAGTTTGCTTGCTCCGCTACCAACCAACCCCCTTTACTTTGCGCCGGCATCGATTAACGTGTTTACTCGATTGAGACGCGCAAAAACGCGCGAACGAGTATCCACAAATGACTTTCGACGAAGATCTGCGAGAGAACGAAAGACAAAGGAGACTTTGTGCGCCGTTGATGAGGCTACGATGTCTTGCGCTTCCTTTTTTCTTTCCTTCTTTTTTCTCTTCTCCCCGTCCACCTTCTTTTCTATATATCTCTTTCTCTCTCTCTCTCTCTCTTTCTCTCTCCGTCTCCGTCTCCGTCTCGCTCCAAGATATCGATGTAAAAAGAGAAAAAAGAGACGCAAATGGAAGACGATGAGACGCTATTGTAGAGATTGCAAATTGGTATGTTGATTACTGTACCGGGAAAAAGAATAAAAGATGAACGCGCTTCTCTTGTTTTAAAGTCTCTTTTCGAGACGAGCTCGTTGTTCGTATTGTGCTTTTTTCTTTTTTTTTTTTTTTTTTTTTTTTGTTTCCTTTCCTTTCGACGTTGGTTGCATCGCCTCGGATGTTTTCCGATAATATCCATCCTCGTCTTTTTTCGTTGCGCGTCTTAATCATTGCTACGAGTCCTGGCTTCTGAAAAATGAAATCCCACGTAAGTAAGTGTATTTCGCTTCTATATCTCTTTCGGAACGATTCCATTAATTCCATTATTCGTTTATCAAAACCAAATTAAATTGATAATGTTCTATCTAAATGAGGTTTTTATATTCACGCTTCAAAAATTGTTCTCGTAGACGATTTCGATCCCTCGACTTTTTCCCTCGAGCTCGAACGTGCAAGACGAGCGATACTTTGGAATTAAGATATCGGATATACTCTTATACTCGTCGTCCCCTAAGTGGACTTACCGATCGAGCATCGCGTTCGTGAACGAGGAGGCTTCGATTAAGCCGGACAGCCCGATTAATTCCGTCGATTCGAAGAATCGACGCCCGTGAACGGTTCGAGGGAACGACCTTTAACGTTTCCAACGTGTACGCCAAATTTCTGACATTTTTACGACAATTAATTTTGCTCTTAAAGCGGTTGCGTGTCCGCGCGGCGAATTGGCTCGTCTGCTCGATGATTAAAAAAATGCGATAGTTGGATCGTTTTAACGCGTATACGCGAACATTCGTATACGTAGCCGACGTTCGTAATAACAAAATTCTTTTTTTTTTTTCGAGGAGACGGGAGGAAAAGGAAAAGAACGAAATAAACGGAGAGAGCTCCTTTTGCGCCCCCTCCCCCCTCCACCCGCCCTCCCTCTCGATTAAAAATACAACATCGGCCACGAAGAATGTAAAACACGAAAGAAAGGAAGGACGCGCCTAGCGCCTTAAAACGGGTATCACCGAGCGCACGAGAGAGAGAGAGAGAGAGAGAGAGAGAGAACGAGAGATATTGACCAACGGAGAAGAAGAAGAAGAAGAATCGGTAAGATAAAAGAAATACTAGGTGTACGCTTGATGAGCGATCGTTATCACGATGAAAGTGCAGTTTCGAATCGATCAACTGCAGCCGATTCACCGTCGCTTCTTTTATTAAGCTGCCAATTTCGCGGCGCCTTCTCTCTCACTCTCTCTCTCTCTTTCTCTCTCTCTCTCGCGCGCGCCCAGACGCGCACTATTTTTTATCTAAAAAGATTCTTCGAATTTAGACCCTCTCTGAAAGAAAAGACAGAGAGAGAGAGAGAGAGAGAGAGAGAGAGAGATTCGTTATGGATAATAACTGGAAGGATTCCCGATTGAAACGGGGTCGACGCGACGGCCTTGACTCGGTGTGCATCGAAAAGTCACAATCGAGTTGTCATCTTAAATTGCTCGATAAACGGTTCGCTCTCCTTTCGGATTTCCGTTTCACCGTCATTTCACCGCGTTATTTCAAGGCGATCGATGAGCCCTGAAGAAATTCTGCAGCTCGCCTCCGTTCGAGCTTAGCCCGAGTAAGTTCGGGTGGGGGATTTCAATTTCTCGGTTCCATCAATCTCCAGAGGTCCCGGTAGCCAAGTGGAAAACGAACTCGATGACTTCCCCCGTGTGACTCGGGATGAATTCGAGCCTCCTTCGAGCGGCTTTATGATCGTCGAACGACCTTAACTCTCCTCGGAATTCGCGGATACGTATCGTCTAATCTTTTTCCTTTTCTTTTACGATTCGACAAGCGGATTATACTTTAACGATTTGATTTTCGAGAAGCTAAGAAAATTGAATGAAAATCGATTACTCGATCGACCAAAAATAACGCCTCGAGTTATATCTTATCCGTTCGAATTTTGAGAAACGATCGGAAAGTAACGTTTGTGTCGTCCAACAAATTTCCTTTTCATTTTGAGGAATTTCCTGTGCGGAACTTGCGATGCGATCTAACGAGACTATAATTTTAGTTGTGCGTGGTCTCGACTGTTCGTTAAAGACGACGATGCTCCGCCGTTCAATGTTCTTTGCATCTTCGTGCCTCACTCCCCCATCTCTTGTTCCCCGTACCGTATCCGGTCTTCCTTTCCGGCAATTACTCGCGTCGTCGTTGGCAGACCCATTATCGTCGCTAACCGATCGGCCAAGAAGCAAAGTCGAAAAGACAGAGAGAGAGAGAGAGAAAGTTTCGCGAAATACGCCTGAAAAGTGGAAGAGAGACGACGACGACGACGACGACGACGTAGCTACTCCGAAAGAGTCATCGAGCGTAATTAAGAGCGTTAATGAATTTTAACTGTCCTAGAACGACGTCCGAGTAATACTCGTATACTTATATAATACTTACGGTCGACGTCGAAGCTTTATCAAAAATTTTGCAAAAAACATAGCCGAGAGTTAATTACGCGCTTTAACGAACTTTCACGTTCGTACGACCTCTTTTCGGAGCATCGGTCGACGAGGGATTTCTTTTGAATCGTATTACCATTTTCTTGCCGTCCTGAAATATTCCATTAATATTCCGTTTGCGTAAATGCGCTTCTCCTTTTGACTTATCCTTTTTTCCTTATAATCCTTTCTCTCTTCTACGACGCCCTTTTTATTTTCTCTCTTCTTAATATAAGAAAAGAATCCGAAACGTTCCTCGAGCATCGTTCTCGTTCGCGATACATGCGTTAATAATCCTTTATTGCACGGACGTCTTCGCTAGTTGACGATTTTTAATAAAAAAAAAAAAAAAAAAAAAAATCTTTTAATGAGTTCGCACCTGGAATTTGATTTTTTTAATTAAGAATCCTCCTACCCTCCGACGCACGAATATTTTCATCGCTTCGCGAAAAACGAATTATCCCTTGGCAATGAGAAAACGTCAACGTCCAAGGAATCTCTCTCTCTCTTCTTCGTACATCCGTACGAAGCCGGCGCGCTTACCGAGCTAAGAATTTTAACGATTTGCGTTCGAGCGTATACGCGACGAATTCTCGAAGGATGCTAACGAACTTACTTTTCGACGTTCTCTCGTACGCTCCTCGTCGAATTTCATTACCTCTACCAATTGACATACAATTTGAAAGACGCTGCCGATTATTAAACGGTACACCACAAGGAGACCCACAATGAGCCCACCGTCGACCGCACAGGAAGGATTCTATCACCGCTGATTTAGCTTCATTACGATTTATATTAATAATTTCGCTAATTGCCGGTTTGCCGAATTAATTGGTCGAGTCTGGGAACCGTGCGCTCAACGCAATCGTTCGTCTCGATCTTATCTCGATTTTGAATCCAAAGCAATGACGAGTCGATCGATCGATCGTCTTTGAATATTCTTAATCGACGACGTCGATGACTCAAGAGCGAATCAAACCGGAGGTCATAAATTCTTGCCAAGTGGTACGAAGGATAGAGGGTCTTCCGAATTCGTAGGCGCCTTTTCTTATGCCTCTCTCTCTCTCTCTCTCTCTCTCTCTCTCTGTTACGTTCGGTTCTCGTTTCGATCGAGCGAGCGTCAGGTTGAGCGGCACTGTTTAACAATGTCTGATTTACGTGGCACGAACGCTAAACACACAATCGCGGCGGCCCTACTCACGAGAACTTTAGGCAAGTCGACGTGCAGCCGGTTGGCCGGACTCGGCTAAAGGTGGGCCAGGATTGGCCGACTAGAGCGGAAATCGATGGAATGCAGTTCTTCGGGCTACGCTAAGGAAAGAGATGGAGGGAAGGAGATCGGAAGGAGGGGGAGGGGCGAGAGAGAGAAAGAGAGAGAGAGAAAGAAAGAGAGGAGAAAAAAAGAATGAAGCTGACTGGTAACCTGGCGCGATCAACGCGCCGATAAAACACGTTGCTGAGGTGCTTACAATCGACCAGTCGATACGCTCTCGCTCCCACAAAAATGAATCATAAGCGTTCGAGGTAAGTAACGACGAGCTGTCTCTTGTCGTCGTTGTCTATCGACCGAGATCAATCCTCGGTGAGAGTACGATCGATCTTTAATTAAGGGACAGGTGCAAAAAAGAACGATCGTCACCTCGACTAATGAATTCCCGTTATCCTCGGTTCGCTCTCGACGAGCTAACTTCTTTTTTCTATATTTTCTTTCTTTCTCGAACAACGGAACAAACGGAATATCGGGATAAAATCTTACGAGACTTTTCTCAAATGTTTCCGGGCGGTAACGTCGAAGATCCTCTTATAGAGACGTGGGCTATAGTTATATCGTAAATAATAGGGGGTTTCTTGTACTGGATAATCCCACGAAGTTTATCGGTGGAAAGCGAGTTGTCGGGTCAAGCTCTCGCTCTTCGAGGCCACGATGTGTCTCGAAATCAACGTCTACTCTTCCCTTATCGATTTATACTTACTTTCGTTTCGTCTCCTTCTTTATTCTAGCGAGACTTGTCTTGGTGAAGCTTCTCACCGTTGACCTTGAAATTCCCTGACGAAAAAATCAAGTCTAAAGGCGTCGAATCGATGCGTTACCAAAGCCAACGACGATCCATTGTATTTTCGTAATCTCCACGTTTTTCATTTGTTATCGTCGAACTCGTTAAAAAAGACGATTCGCACGATAGCAATGTCGAATAAAGTGAAGAAGAGGAAGAAGGAGAAGGAAGAGGACGGAACGGATGGCTTCGAAAGGACGGGGAGGAGGTAAGGAGGCACTCGCGTCCACGACCATAGACTACGGCACTGGGCCGTGAAGGAGAGATACACTTTTTGTGGGTTTCTAGGCCGCTAAGGAGCGAATGAATGAACACGGCTCTTCGTAATCCATTCATGCTTCAAGAGGGTACACCCTCCTCCTCCTCTTCTTTTGCTTCTCCTTCTTCTCCTTCCGTCTTCTCGAAGGAGACGGAAGAGAGAAGGAAAGGAGCAAAGGAGAGACAGAGAAAGAGAGAAAGAGAGAGAGAGAGAGAGAGACGGAGAGCTAGAGACCCCTCATCTCGGCGGGATCCTTCCATGTAACTCGCGCTGTTATATTTTGTTTGTCTGCTTCCGAGGAACCCTCCGGATCCCTCTCTCTCTCTCTCTCTCTCTCTCTCTCTCTCTCTTTTCTCATCCTTCGTACTCCCCCTTCCCTTTTCTCCCTCGTGTTAGACCTCACTTAGAGCCCGGGATCTGGGTCAGATTATATGTATACAACTTGTTGAGGCATCGGGCCATCGAGTATATCTGGAGTACCCTGGCGCCTCCATTCCATAGCTTCCTCGACTTCTTCTTCCTCCTCAGTCCTCCTACTTCGTCACTTTGCTTTTTTGCCTTCAAGATTTGCAAATTGAGTTACGCTCTGTTATGGCGACGATGGTAGTTCTTCTTTTGTTCGTGTTTTTTCCTGCGTGATGTTTCGCGTCAGCTGACATCTGCCTTTCAAAACGAAGAAACAGAGGAATCGTCTTTTGTCAGATTTTTCAATTACAACGAAATGAGAAGGCGAGCTGTATAATCGCGAAATATAGAATATATCGAAGACAATCGACGAGAAGCTAAGTTTATCGGGGCGAATAGAAATTATATTCCCAAGGTGGGAATGGTCTCTATGAAATCGTAAACTTGAAGTACGTATATACATCCTTTGGGAATATCTACGCAAGATGATTAACGCGATGTAATCTCATTAGAGAGGATCGATCCTCCGAGGATCCTGGCTCGATTTTCCATAGAGTTACGCGACGATTTATTAAGGATTTACGTGTAGATAGATGCAAGGAGAAAAGCAAATATCGTAACGCTCGACGCGACAACTAAAGTGGAAGCTATATATAAATGTTTTTTGTTCGATGCAGTAGGACGGTTCGTTAATTTCCACGATGAAATTCTGAGCTTCGTCA